GTCCGTATGTATGATTTCTAATATGTCTGTACTCCTCTTGGCACCTTTTTTTGTCTTGTTGGTCTGCTTTCCCTTTATGCAGTCCACGCAAATATCATAATTAGTAAAATCCAAAGTACCGAGTACTCCATCATTTACTAATCGCTTAATTCTATCTATTGAGATATGTCCCAATCTCCGGTGCCACAACATGGAGGAATCTTCATTCACAACACATCATTTTATACCAGCATTGTCATGAACATGCATCGCATTATAATAGGCATTGTCTTGTAAATTAATTCGAAAAAGACCATCAGACAAAATACCACTCCCAACAATTTCAGATTTAAACAATAAACTGAAGTTTGAATTTGAAAAGTTAAAAGAGTAACCCAAAGGTACAAGTCTTGAAACTGAAATTAAGTTTCTAGAGAAACTTGGAACATAAAAGGTCCTTTCCAAATTCAAAACAAAGCCACTATTGAGAACTAATCTACATGTCCCAATAGCTTCTACATGCGAACGCATCTTGTTTCCCGAATAGATGCTTTGTTCACTTCCCACTGGCTTCCTGTGGTTTTGAAAACCCTGCAAGGAATTCGAAATATGGATTGTAGAACCAGAATCAATCCACCAAGTGTTGTGACTCACATCAGCCATATTAGATTCATAACAAACATAAGAGGTTGGATTACCTTTCTTCTCGAGCCAGGCCTTAAATCTGACGCAATCCTTCTTCATATGCCCCTTCTTTCTACAGAAGAAACATTTGGATTCCTTCTTAATGTCAGCTTGGGGAGGTATTTTACCTTTCCCCTTCTGCTTGCCGTGACCCTTATTCCTTTCTTGTGTTGCCAAATGAGCACTTTCTCCCAATTCCATAGTCAGCCTCTCTTCCTCTTGAACACACATGGTCATAAGTTCATTAATTGACCATTTATTCTTATGTGTGTTGTAGGAGATCTTGAAAGGTGCATACTGTTGTGGGAGAGTGTTCACAATGTAGTACACAAGAAATGATTCAGATATCTCAACCTCAAGGTTTTTCAGCTGAGCTGCAATGTCCCTCATCTTCATGATGTGCTCACGCACACCTCTTACACTTGTGAGCTTTAGAGATGAAAACTTCATTATCAGGGTCATGGCATGCGCCTTTTCTGAAGTCTCAAACTGTGCATCAATGGCCTCCAATAAAGCCTTAGCATTGCTAAGCTGAGCGACTGAACCACGGATACTAGGAGATACTTTAGTCCTTATGAACATCACACTAAGGCGGTTGGACCGCTCCCACTGTTCATAAAGGGCTATCTCATTGAGTGCTCGTGTCGTAGGAGCAGTGGTTCGTCTTTCCTTATAGCATAGTCAATGTCCATGCACCCCAATTGAAGAAGAATTGACTCCTTCCAAACTTTATAGTTTTCACCATTCAGTATGGGAACATCACTCTTAAATTCAGAGAAATTCACAGGTTGCAAAACTGCATATCAAATAATCATGCTTATGTCACAAAATTTGAGGCAAAATCAACATATATCATGTTCTACCAATGTAAGACATGTCACAAAATATGAATCACATAACATAAAAACTGCCTGTGGGCTAAGTTTTTAATTTAAATAGATTCATAAATACTTCATGAAGAAACTATCATATTATATTCCTTTCCTTAATCCCTGTGGGTAAATTAAGAAAAATAATATGATATTTTCACCTAATTAATCAAATTAATATAATGAAAATTCCTGTGGGATAAAATTCATCATATTAATAAGATTAAGGGAAAAAACCATCAAAAACCCCAAACTTTGCCATCTGTTACACATTTACCCCGAACTTTTTTTTGTGACACCAAAAATCCCGAACTTTGCTTTTTGTGACACATTTACCCCAATGTATTTAGTCCATGGGCATTTTCGTCTTTTCTGCTTTTTCTTTTTTTTTTCCTTTTTTTTTCCTTTCCGGCGAGAGGGGCCTCGCCGGCGTCGGCAGGCTGCCTCGCCGGCGCCGATCGAGGGCGGCCCTCGCCGGATCCGGCGAGGCGGACTCGCCCGACGCGGCGAGGGTCGCCGCCGGGCGAGCGAGGCGGCCCTCGCCCGACTCGAGCGAGGCCGGCGAGGGTCGACCTCGCTCGAGTCGGGCGAGGCCGCCCTCGCTCGCCCAGCGAGGGCGACCCTCGCCGGCGTCGGGCGAGCTCCGCCTCGCTCCGGGCGAGCGAGAGCCGCCTCGCCCGATCCGGGCGAGGTCGACCCTCGCCGGCGTCGAGCGAGTGGTCGACCTCGCCCGAGTAGGGCGAGGGCCGCCGCGCCGGATCCGGGCGAGGGCCGCCCTCGCTCGACGCCGGCGAGGGTCGACCTCGCCAGATCGGACGAGGCCGCCCTCGCCCGGGCGAGCGAGGGCGGCCTCGCCCGGCTCGGGCGAGGTCGACCTCGCCCGACGCCGGCGAAGGTCGACCTCGCCAGATCAGCGAGGCGGCCCTCGCCGCCCAGTGCGAGGCGAACCTCGCCGCGTCGGGCGAGGTTCGCCCTCGCCCGGGCGAGCGAGGGCGGCCCTTGCCCGACTCAGCGAGGGCGAACCTCGCCCGACGCCGGCGAGGTTCGCCGAGAGCCGGGCGAGCGAGGGCCGCCTCGCCCGATCTGGCGAGGTCGACCTCGCCGGCGCGGGCGAGGGTCGACCTCGCTGAGCCGGGCGAGGCCGCCCGCTCGCCCAGCGAGGCGAACCTCGCCCGACGCCGGCGAGGGCCGCCCCCGCCGACGCCGGCGAGGCCGCCTCGCCGGACGCCGGCGAGGGCCGCCTCGCCCGACGCCGGCGAGGGCCCCTCCGGATCCGGCGAGGCCGAACGGCGAGGCCCTCGCCGGAAAGGAAAAAAAAAGGAAAAAAAAAAGAAAAAGCAAAAAGACGAAAATGCCCATGGACTAAATACATTGGGGTAAATGTGTCACAAAAAGCAAAGTTCGGGGTTTTTGGTGTCACAAAAAAAAGTTCGGGGTAAATGTGTCACAGATGGCAAAGTTTGGGGTTTTTGGTGGTTTTTTCCCTAAGATTAATTACAATCAATGTCCATTTCCAAATGTGGTCCGAATGCTCTTAATATATAATTTAATTAATTAAAGATGCTGTGGCTACTCCTCAATTAATTAAAATATATGGATCACTGGACATTTAATTTCATGCATAAAAATATTCATAAAATGCATGAAGGACAAAATTATAAACTTAATACGGCAAGGGGCATAATCGTAATAACGGGTAAAAAGCGGGGGTGGGAGTGTAAAAACCGAAGGGGAGGGGGCGCGGTTCCGGGCGCGTACGCGGCACGCGCGCTGCCTATGCGCGGGCGCGTGGCGCGCACGCACCTTCTTTACGCGCGGGCGCGTGCGCCGCACGCGCCCGCAATCGCCGCGCGAGTGGGCCGCACGCGCCTGCAGTTGCGCGCGCGTGGAGACCACGCGCCAGCGGTTGCGCGCGCGTGACGGCCACGCGCTTCTTCCTCCGCGCGAACAGAAGCGTTTTCTTGCCATTTTTCGCCGTTCTTCGCCGTTCCGCCGCGCATTCGTCCGAATGGGTCTCCTTCGGTAGCCCATATCATACCAAAATAATTAATGGGTTTCGGAGACCACATCGGCGCGACCATATGGACCCAAAATTCGGCGAAAACAACCAAGAAATAGACTCGAATCAAGCAAAATTCCGTCCAAACGCATAAACCCCAACTCGCAACTTCCGCCGCTCAAACAGCCTCCGGCGATCACCGAAATGCCAGATTAACTTAGGGCTATTCTTCTCCATGGCGGTGTGACCGTGCCGGTCCAAAGTCGAGCAGTGGGTCGCCGGAATTTGGCCGGAATCGGCGATTTCCCTCTTAGCCCCAAAATGCCCGAATTACTGTTCATTTCAAAAAGTCCCGAAAAATACACCAAAAATTCAACAAGAACAAGGCAGAGGCACTAATCACGCTCTGATACCAAATGTTAGACTAAAACTAAAGGATTCTAATCATGCATAGAAGAACAAAATTTAAGCACAATTAGAATCAAATGCGGAAAACAGGATCGAAAATAAACTGACCTCCAGCCATTGTTCAACTTTACGTTCGTCGGAAATCCACGGTAGTTCGACGTTAATTTGAGAGCGATTACGGGCGCACTCTACTAACCCAATCCCCTCGCGTACTGATGGTGTATTACCGAATGAGAGGGTTTGCGTTAGACCTTGTGTCTGCCCTTATGGAATGAACGTTCATCTTTATAAACCGCTTCCCATCAAGGCGGTTACCGAAGAGGGCGGTTGTCACCGAAGGGGTACGAAGCGTGGAAAAACCGCCGGTGGATAACCGTCACTTAAAAGAGAAAACGTGGGTCAAACCTAAGTGTGGGATCACATTATAAATATAACAATGCATGAATGAAATTCTTTCTTTATAAAAATTTGAAAAGATCGTTAAATGCATTGAACCTTCGTGGAACGGACGTTCACGTACACAACGGGGCAATCTTGCATGAACTGTGGAGTCCTCACTCATTGAATAGGATAAAAATAAAGAGGAAATGACACTTCTCGAAGTCTAGTGGCCTATTTTCCACGAATCTGTCTCAAACAACATCATATAAAGAGAGAAAATATTAGGGTCATGATTTCTCGTATCTCTTGTCGTTTTTGCTCCTGTTCATCAACAATTTGGATGTAAAGTGGAATGTTTTGAAATTATATATTTCTTTTTTGGAGGGTAATCAATTATAATAATTTACAGAACGATGTACCTTGACTTTTAAAGTGGGGTATGGCTCCTCCACATCCAAAATTCTGTCTAGTAGCCTAATTTTCCACCACGATTGAATATTTGTTGGTCCTAGGAAATTTCTCCGGCTCTTCCAAGACACACCGCAACGTGACGAAGGAGACTTCCCATGACTCTCTGGCTTGTGTATAAATCCTCCAAAATCAAATGGATCAGACACTACTCTTAAATCTCTCTCCCCATTATTATATCGAACTCGATCGATATACTTTAGCATCTGAAGATGGAGAGGAGGGACTCATCGAATAGAATAACGGCATCGACACCTGATAGAGATGATATCGAGTTGTTGGGGGCTGAATTTGAGGTGTTCTTAAATTTTAGAGGGCCCGACACTCGCCTAAATTTTGCCGACTGCTTCTATCACTCCATGGACGGAGCTGGGATTCGCGTTTTTAGAGATGACGAAGAGATCAGAAAAAGCGAAGCAATTGGAGATGAACTAGAGCGCGTGATCAAGAGCTCCACAATCTGTATGCCCATCTTCTCTAGAAACTACGCGTCCAGTGCGTGGTGTCTTCGCGAGCTTGCGTGCATGGTGGATTGCTTGAGAAACAAAGATGGCAAACCGTTGATCTTGCCAATTTTTTTCGACGTGAATCCTAACGATGTCCAGCTCAAAACGGGGCTGTACCATGATGCTTTGCAGAAGCACGAGCAAAAGTTTGGCTGTGATGTAGTGCGGCAATGGAAGGAGGCTCTGAGGGTGGTCGCTCATACCGAAGGATGGGATCTCAAAGATAGAGCGTGAGATCTTTATGTGAATAAGTACAACGTAAATTATATGGGATAAGGACAACATAAGTGTCATAATTTTCATTGGGTGTTTACTTGAACGCCATAATTTTTTTTTTCCAATCTCTTGAGTGTCGTGACTTCTAAAGAATGTACACTTGAGTACCATGACTTCTAAAAATAAATTCACTTGAGTGTTATAACTATAGAAAACGTTCACCACAAGTGTTATACCATGTCGGACTTCTAGCACTTGTGGTGAACGTTTTTATAAAAGTTATGATACTCAAGTGAACGTTTTTTTAAAGTCATGGCACTTAATTGTCGAATAAAAGTTATGGCGATTGTGATGTACTTAATGCTTTTGGTGAACGTTTCTAAAAAAGGTTATGGCACTCGGGACAATGTTTTTTAGAAGCAATGACACTTAAGTGATCAAATAAAAGTTATGACACTTGAGTGAATACCACATGAAAGTTGTAGTACTTATGGTTTACTTTTACCTATATTAAATTTATTAGAGTTTGTTAGAATACTCTCATCCAATGCCATTCCCCAAACATTTTTTCTTACAAACATATATGAGAATTTCCCTTCCATTCCGACAATTCATCAAACAATAAATATTGGAATCATCATTATATTAATTCCATTCTATTCTATTCCGGCGTGCGAAACTCGACGCATTAGAAGTCATGAGACCTCGTCTCTTCGTCTCTTCAAAGGAGAACATTAATTTATTAGTTTGTATCAGTGACGCAATCAGAATTTAGGTCCAGGGAGGGTCAAAGTCATTGATGAAATATAGTGTCAGAAAAATTCTTTTGCACGTGAGTAGTGAATAAACTTACGCACTAGGTGAACATAAATAATTTTATGTTTTTTTAACAATTTACATCTTTGACCACTGAATACAGTAAGTAGATGCTATTCATTATAAGTTGACATGGATTTTAAGTAATTTTATTTTATGTTTTTTTAAAAAAAGAGTTAGAGCTTGTAACTCCTCCTTTGCCCCCTCCTTCCGTGGCTGGTTTTTGTTTAATTTAGAATATTTCTGAATTTAATGGATTAATATTCTATCTTTTTCTGACTCCACCCTTTTGTCTCCAATATGACAGCCAAGTTGAACACATTAGATTAATCGTTGCTGAAGTTTTGATCAAGCTAAATAAAAGAGACAAAAATATGCCTGAACATCTAGTTCGAATTCAGGATCGTGTTGAAGACGCCATGCGCTTATTAGAGGAAGGTTATCCTGATGTCCGTTATCTAGTGATCCACGGTATGCGGGGCATCGGTAAGACGACTCTTGCTAAGGTTATCTTTAACCAAATTTCTGGTCGGTTTCATGGGTGTAGCTTTCTTTCTGATGCTCGAGAAGCTTCAGAGGGTGGTAAAGTCATTCAATTGCAAAAACAATTATTGTCGGAAATTCTAAACTTCAAACCAGTGGAGATTGCTGACTATGATGCAGGGATTAACCAAGTTAAAAGGAGATTCCATGATGAGAAAGTCCTCATTGTTCTTGATGACCTAGATAAGTGGGACCAACTCTCAAAACTTGCAGAAAAGTGTGGTTGGTTTGGTCTAGGGAGCAGAATTATTATTACAACAAGGAACATCAACTTTTTGCCAATCGAAGAGGAGAACCAAGATAATAATGTCCAAACGTGTTTCAAAGAGTTTAAAATCTATCAAATGGAAGGATTGTGCCATGGCCATGCTGTTCAGCTTTTCAGTAAGCATGCATTCAGAATGGATATCCCTCCACATGACTACGATGATATTTCCCGTGGTATTATTGCCAAAGCCGGTGGACTTCCTTTGGCTCTCGAGGTCATTGGTTCCTCTCTTTATTGCAAGAGTAGACGACTTTGGAAAGACACGTTGAAGAAGTTATATTTAGTTCCCAATCAAGATGTCCTTCGCAAATTAAAGATCAGTTTTGAAATGCTAGAGGATGCACAAAGAGAAATTTTTCTTGATATTGCATGTTACTTTATTGGTGAAGAAAGAATACATTCACATTATATGTGGAAAGCATTGGATTATCACCCCAGAATTGAGATCAATTTCCTTATCTGCGTGTCTTTGATAAAAATTGATGATGATGATAGACTCTTGATGCATGACTTGCTCAGAGACCTTGGAAGAGAAATTGTTCAACAAGAAGACCTCAAAGTTCCTAGGAAGCGTAGTAGACTATGGTGTCCCAAGATTGCGTTGGATGTAGTGAAGACTACAAAGGTAAATTTAGTTCACAGCTACTATCTTCTCAATCAGTTTCTTCACTATGATTAACTCTATTCACCGCTTTACTTATAAAACAAGTCTATGCAGTATTTACTCACGGAATGCATTTCTTTTTCTCACTGTAGAAACTTAATTTATTCCTTTTCATGTTATCAGGGAACATATAACATCATAGCACTCAAACTAATCGGACTTTCCAAAGAGCACGACTTTAAAAGTGAAGAGTTTTCCAGGCTACCTAGCTTAAGGTTCTTGGAATTAGAGGGGCGGAACTTGATAGGAGACTTTAAGAATCTTCTCTCTAGTTTAAGATGGCTCTCACGGCGTCATTGCCCTTCAGACTTGCAGGCCATCAATCTATGTTTAGGGAACTTAGTTGTGCTTAAGCTTTCGGACAGTGACATTCTGGAGAACTGGAATGGATGGGGGCCATGCTTGGTATGATTTCGTATCACGAATACGTTGTTGCCATTTGCCTTGCCTTACTTTTCTTAGTCTAATTTGTTTCGTAGGTGAATCATGACTTGAAAGTTATACATCTCGTGAGATGTCATCTCTCGACAACTCCAGACTTCTCAACGTGCTTGAATTTGAAGATACTGGTTCTTGATGAAAATTGTCCAAAGTCGCTACAAATTAGTAGCTCTATCCATAAGCTAGAGCGCCTAAAGCGCTTGGAAATAATTCCAGCCCAAGTTCAGCCGTCAAATTTGCCCACAAGCATCCCTTTTGACCTGTTTGCAGTGCCTTCTGCAATATGCTATCTAAAGTACCTATCCAATTTAAAGCTAGAGGGGCAGTGTATACGAGAGCTTCATCCATCTGTTGGAGAGATGGCGGGCTTGACATGCTTGTCTTTAATGAATTGTCGTCCATTTAGAAAGCTTCCAGACTCCATTGGGAAATTGAGATCTTTGGTCATATTGAATTTGGCCTACACAAGAATTAGAGAGTTACCCAATTCTATTAAAGATCTCAGTAGGTTGGAGGTAATGAACCTGGGATCGACTCAAATAAGGGAGCTGCCAAAAACCATTGAAAGACTAGAATCATTGGTCGAGTTATATTTGGTGAATACAAAGATCACAGGACTACCTGCTTCTGTCGGGCATCATAGAAGGCTGAAGTTCTTAACTCTGGCTGGAATGCCGGAGAATCCTAAAGTGTTGGAATCTAGCGGTTGTAAAAATATCACTTGCATGGGGGAGTCACCAAAGGTAGAGGATGGGAGTCGAAGTACAAATATCACATGGCCTCCTCAGCTTTGGAGACTTGGCATATCTTGTGATGATCCTCGATCTCTCACATGGCCTGCTCAACTCTATAATTTGGCATTAAGAGATGTCAAGTCATCGTTAGAACAAACATTCTTTTCCAACTTGAGATGTTTGAGATGTTTGTCCCAGTTAACACTCTTTAGATGTTGGTTTAGAGAGATCAACTTTGAACAGCTAGAGAGTCTCCATTACTTAGATGTGTATTATGTAAATCGCTAATAAGGCTATCGGGTCTATCAAGCTTGGGGAAGCTCAAAAGGCTAATAGTGATGAGCTGCTGTCAGCTAGTCGAGATTCGAGATTTAGGAGAATTGGAATCTCTGGAGGAATTATCAATAGAGAATTGCGGCTCCTTACAAAGGTTGCCTAATCTATCAGAACTACATGGGTTGCGGACATTGCACCTCTATCACTGTGAATCGCTGTAAGGTTTGCCTGATGTACCAAACACGTGTCATCTCTATGTTCATGGATGCCCGATGTTAGACGATTCTGGTGACTTTGACAAAACTTGCAGACAATGTATGGAACCCAACATCGATGTGAATCATATGCGGGGTTTATTCAGTCGATCAAACTTAAAGGCCGTAAAGAATTGGAACTGGTGGAAGCATCACCCGTAATGGCACCACGATTCCATCAGAAAGGTTTTATGATCTACCAAATTCGATCGGAAAGGTTTTCTCATTGTAGATATGTTACAGCCAAATCTAATATAACATTCTCTCGCTTTCATTATTATTATTTATCTCCTTATATGGAGACAATATATTTGGCCTAGCAAGTATTTGGGATTAATGTCCAGTATTTTTATGTTCCATTTCAAGTCTGATGTGGGATCTTCATAGATAGTTGAAAGTACAAAAGCTCTTTCTCTATGATTCACTTGCCTAACGACAGAGACATCTAATGTCTAATCTAATCTTTCCAATCTAATCTAATCCAATCTGATAATGTCATCTACTTCATTTCATAATCTGATGATCTAATAAGTATTTTGGTGCTTTAAGGGGGAGACCTATGTATGGTTGATAATTGGTACTCTCCTCATTTCACACGTACCATATTTTGCCTAACTTTTTTTTTCATTATTCTTTTTCCCTACCATTTCTTTGTTTCATTGTCTCCTTTCGAACAACTTTTTTTTTTAAGTTTTATTTCCGTTCACTTGTAAAGATGTATATCCACATTTTTCACATTACGCAATAACTAAGTGTAATCTAATCTAGTTTAATTAAATAAAAGTATGTTGTTGCATAGTGCTCTATGAGAAGTTGACAATTCGGCACTTTCTCCACCTACAACCTGGCAATTTTTCTTCTAGTCTTTTTCTTTTCTTAAACTAAATTAAGATTAACAAATAAAAAAATGCCATCGGTTTTTTAAAGAAAAATCACATCAAGCTTCATCGTACTAGTATGACTAGACAAAAACTCGTCTCCACGAAGTGACAAATTTAGAGGAAAATCAAATTATTAAGAGGAAAATCATAACGAACTAAGCATGAGTTTGTTTCGCGGAAAATAAATGATTTGAAAAATATTTTTCTAAAAATGATCGCTTGTATCACCTACAAAAATGAATGAACGAAAACTATTTTCATTATCCACGAAAATTTTAAGACATAATTTATTGTTAATAATGAAAATATTTTTCATTGACTAATTATTTCAAGTGATATAAATAATCTTTTTTAGAAAAAAAAATTTCAAATCATTCATTTTCCACAAAACAAACGGAGTCTAAAGCTATACCAAAAAATATCACTAGAGTATATGTCATTAACCAATTCAATGGTGAGAGAAAATTAAACTAAAGTAGAGGATTTTTACAACTAAAATAGCATGGTCATGACAAACTCGGCTTTGAAATTAAAGAGGTTAGACTCAAATTATCTTAACAATTAAAAAGTGATCTTATAAGTGAATATTGTATTAAAGTTGGAATAGTCCCTGTACTTTTGCAAGGCGTCTAAATTTTTTCTTTTTTGGCTATTTGAATCCTTGAGCTATATACTATTTTCTTCTTATTGGTTCTTCCGTTGAAAGAACTGCAGACATGGCCATTAGATCACCGTTAAATGCCATAGCGGCAATCCTAGCAGGCTAGTTAAATTAGATGAATGAAATAAGTAATTTCCGAAAGTTCCAGAAAGGAAAGTTCGAAATGGAAAGAAAAAAGGACAAACTAAACGGGGAGTAGGTGCAAATGAGATCCAACCGTCACCATCATTCCGACCCACATCTTCAGCAAGCTCTCGGCCGAAGCGAGACTAGAGGTGCTGAAAGGGATGGTTGAAGAATCGTGGAGAATAAGATCGAGGCGGGTCTAAGCCAGAGTTGTCGAATCCAGACCTGTTGTGGCCATGGCAATCTTGGGCATTTCTGCTTCCATGGCTGCGGTTAGCTGAGACAAAGAATCCTTTTTTGGTATACAAGCATGTAGTGGTGAGGAAGAGTCAGCAACCTCACTTCAGCATGGTGGCGAGGTGCGATCTTCGCCGGCTTCTTGGCCCAGGCATGTTTTGAGATTTGAGGTGGTAGCACTTTCACTTGAGTCCGACGAGGCGACGTCGAAAGCTCGCCGGTGCGTCGGTGGTGGTGCGCCGCCCATCCTCCCTCTTCTGCTGTCTCCCTCCCTCCCTTTCTAGTGTTTGTGATTTTAGATTTTTAATTTCCTTCCTCATTTTTATCCCGCATAAGTAAATAAATCCAGCCGTTATCCATTTGTTGCTGACGGGGCTTGCCACGTGGGCATTTCTATCCTTAGGCCTAACGAAAGGACCAACATTAAAAAAAAAAATTATGCATTTCAAGGACTCAATTAGTCAAAAATGTATAACGACCGGATTGAACATTTTTCAAAATTTCGGAAAGTAGTAGGAATTTTATCTCATAAAAAGCCGCAGGGCTCAATAAATGTTATCTTTATTGAACATACTCATTTATTTTGGGCCCACCACCCCCCAAAAAAAAGCCCGAACTTTCAAGTGTCTCACAAAAAAGTC